AAGATACTCATGTAAAGGTACAAGATCCCAATGATGAATGTAACTGTATTTTATACCTAAAATGTACCAATAAACTTAATGGGAAAAAAATTAAATTAAATTGAAAAACAAATTAAAAAAACCATTTATGATGTAAGAATTCAAAGGTATCAATTCCATCTCTCAAATGCTTATACTCACATGTATACTACAGTTTCCAAAGAGTAAAGTCTTTTAAAGCTGAGTAATTATTTCCAACATCCTTCCCATAAGCAGAAGAAACAAATGTCACTGGAAATTCCATTAAAATACAGACTTTGGGCCAGGGATTTAGCTCAGTGGTGCCGCCACCTGCCTTGCAAGTGCAAGGTCCTGAGTTCGATCCCCAGTACCAAAAAAAAAAAAATAAAGAGTTTACCATGAATGCATACTGAATTATTTTTTAATCTCCCATTTCATATTTGATATTACAAAAGTATAACATAAACAATTCCTTGAGATCAATTTTTTTCAGGCCCCATTAATACTTAAAAAGAAAAACCTCTTCTTACCTCCAAGTTAAGATAAAGTTCTCCCAGAAAGAGTACAAATGCATGAAATCGTTTTCGAGTCACTTCATCCCCTTTTGCAGCTTGATCTTTAACTTCATATTCAGTCCGACATCTAATAAAGACATGTCTTTTATAATCTCACATTACTTTGTCTTTTAAAAAGTCAAACAAGATGGCCACTTATCGGTTTGGTTGTCCACAGCAAAAGAGGCAAGCACAATGACCCAATGCCCTGACATTATATAATAAAGAAAAAGGATTCCCCTTTGGTATAGAAACACTGCATTACTTTTTCATACTAAGACTCCCAGTTTTAAGAAACTAATGATAGCAAAAAATAAAATGCTCAGATTAAGTTTGTTCAAGTTTAAGCCATATAGATTTCATGAGGTTCAGAGGATACTAGCAACAAAATGGGGGTGGGGTCTCATTTTGTCTTAGGGGGTTTTGGTGAAGAAAGCACTTCTTTTACCCAAATTATCTCTGAAGTTTTCTCCTCTGGATGTAAGAACTTTTGAAATAGGACTTT